GCACTGGAACAGGCTGCCCAGGGAAGGAGGTGAATCACCATCCCTGGAGGCATTTAAAAGACGTGTAGACATGGTGCTTAGGGACATGGTTTAGTGGTGGACTTGGCAGTGTTAGGTTTACAATTGGACTCAATGATCTTAAAGGTCTTTTCCAACCTAAATGATTCTGTGATTCTCTACACTAAAAATGGCTCAACACTGCTTAAGTGCATAACAAAGTCACAACTCATGACTGATGTCAACAGAAACTGCCTTGCTAGATGATACAGTATTATATAGCACAAATGAGTTACAAGACTTGTGCTTGTCATACCCAAAAACTGTGAACATAACTAGTCCCTGTTTGCAAATTCTTCAAGTGGGTGTTACTGAAAACTGAACTAATATTTAACTAGCTGCTTTTATAACTTATGTGAAATTTGTAACTTTCCAGTAAAATTTATATGAATACAATTTAATTTGTTTCAGAATATATATATTAATTGCTCTCCTTTTTTTCCAGCCTGGATAATGAAGAAATGCAGCCTTATCAGAAATAGTATTTGAGGCATAGAATAGAGATAGAAACTAATGTAATTCAGTATCTAGAGAAAAATATCTAATAAAGGGAAAAGAGATGTGGTAGTGTTGAGAGTGAACATAAGTGAACAGAGCTTAATTTTTTCTCATTTGGGCAAAATAGCTTCTAGTCACTTCTCATATATGCCAAGCAAGTTTGTCAACATTTTTATCTCTTACTGGTAAAGAGGGTGGATTGAGAAATATTAAAATAATATAAGAGTCTCTAAGCAAAGAATATGTAAAAGATACATTGGTTATGTTGGCAAAGCAGGTTTAAGAAGTTCCTGCATCTCATTGCTTAGTTCTGCCCCTGCATTACAGTACATTACATTCACAGTTGTGCCAACACAAGTGTTTGCAGGATAGCGTTGTGTAACTGAACAGATGAAATGACCTGGATTAAAATAATCTTGAAAAGGGGTGGGGTGACAGTGGGGTTATTTTGATCTTAGATCATTTCAGTGCCTGATGTCTAGAACAGACCCCAAAGAGATGTATGAGCATAGCCAAGGGAACTGTGATCAAAGAGTAGGGATGAGAAAGAGAAGAAGGGGTGGGAATTTCTTAAGCAGTACATTGTGGAACTAAAGTATTGCAGACATTAACAGCAAATCAATTCATCTTGGCCCAAGAAGTAAGTCGTAATCATGTGCAATCAACTCACCCAAGGTGTAGTATTTTATGTTGGGCTCCAGTGTTGGACTCGTCAGATCTTTCATATTTGCATCAACAAAGTTCTGGGCTCTGGACGCATGCCAAAATGCCATAAACCTTGCTATGAATGATGCTGCAAAAATTGCTAACATACCAAAATCAAGCATATTCCATAACTCAAAAAGGTATTCCTTTGGACCTTGAGACCAAATTTCTTTACATTCAGACCATATCATGCCTGTATAAGACAAAACAGAAAAAACAGTGTGTTCTTTTATCTTCATGTTTGTTTTATTTGATATTTTATTATGTATAGGATATGCTCTTGGTTGCAGTCAAGCTCAAAACCATTTTGGTCAGTGGGAGTTCGAACACAAACTAAAATCCTTGAACCTGCCAATTCATATACATTCCAGTACTTCTTTCTCATGTGAGTAATAATCACAATCTTTCATACTTCTTTTTCCTGTACAACTACAAAAGCTTTCAAAGAGAAGAACGGGATGTGAGTATTACCATCTGTTACAGACACAGAAAGAGACTGAAAGAGCAGAAATGCTCTGGCATGATCATATAGTGGTAGAACTAATAGCAGAATTCACATGTTCTTATTTACAGAGTACCCCAGCTACAGTCTATTTTACTGAAATTGCAAATATATGTGACAAATGAGCATGAAAGTAAGAATCAGACCTAATGCTTCTTCAACAGAGGAAAGGTATCTGTTTGATTCCTAATTATTCCCCCTTAATAATAAAATATAGGAGTACAGTATTAGTTTATGGCATCCTTTTTATTGAGCAAATCCTTTTCCTTTTCAAGATAAAATTTATTTAATCATGAAGTACATTTCTAGGGTTTTAAAAAGAGTTAATAAAAAAATGAATTGGAATAATGTCACTATTTTTTGCAGTTATCGAATTGTCTGAAGGAACTTTTCATCATTTTCAGATAAGGACAATTATAATGTTAATTACAGTAATTAAATTCAATGCTACATCTGTATGCACTGAACTAATTTTTCAAAAACTATCTTATGCATGACACTGAAATAAATAAAAATAGAATAAAATAGCAAACTAGAACTTCAAATTGGAAAATTATTATTTACTCCTTTATTATCAGATGAAAACACTGATATTTACAGAATATTTGGAAATCTAAGTGCCATATTATTCCCACAACACACAATTATATTAATTTATATACAGCTATATGATGAAATAAATAAAGATTGTCGATGTCTTTTAAAGCTATAAGAATCAGTTGGTGAACAAATGGCTCCAATTTGAATCACAGAGAGCTCAAAAGCAAAATTTTTTAAATGCATAAGCTCTTGAATGGAAACAGATTTTACTTAGCTTGAATTTAACTCTCCTGTATTACTGATTTAACTAACAACCAGAACCCAGCTCTTTAAAGTACTTGGGCATCTAAACCCCATTGAAATAAACAATATTAGACTTGTAAATAAGAATCAGACAGCTAAAATATTTTTGAGGGTCTGTGCTCAAGTTCTTATGTTGACTAGTACTGCATCACCAAATTGAATGGGTCAGCTCACAGTACTATTCATAGTATTCATTTCATCCCTGTGTTGGAATGGAAAAATCTACCGCTGACTGTTCAGGGGTCTATATTCTGCTTCTCTTTTGTCAATAATACATTCAGCTATACACTATGAATTCTGCAGGCATACTTGCAAAATAAGAGAATCTTAGCAGAAAGAGACAATTAGATACAAAAAAACTTGGCCCATGATGTGGAAATCTTTCCCCTTGGGAGTTGACACAGCCTGACTCAAAAAAAAACCAGAAAACTGGTAGACGCTTTCCTCTGATATTCATAAAACTGAATTCATTCATATTCAGATGATGCAGATTTCACCTAAGTCCTTAACCTGAATGTTTGTGATTAACTGGGCACATGTGAATCCTGCTGACATCCAATAAGAAACATGAGGCCAATGTGGGAATGCAGCCAGTTGAATAAACTCCTTTTGTTGCAATTTTTACACATAACATTAATAGCAAAGGATTAAATTGGGTCCAACTTCACTGAAATCATAGCAAGACAAATTTAAGCAAAAATTAATCTTTACCTATTACCCAAGAAATAATCAGCATCTCCATCCATGAGAAACAGGATGTTTTCATCCTAAATAGCTGTTTTACATTGCCTGTTGTTTCATTAGGTCGGAGTTTGGTGCCATCAAATCTGTCAGCTGCATTCATGACAAGCAGACCAAGAAAAATGGTGAAAGAGGCTGCATGGGCTACAAACTTCATAAATGGTCCACGCATTATCCTCCCCAGCTGCAACAGAGGTTATGAAACACAAGGATATTGCATTGCCTTCTTCCAGAATAAAAATGTATAAAAAGAACAGTAAAAGTACAGAGAAATATATATTTCAATAATACACAGGAAGAAATATTTGGAAAAAGTTGTATCCTATGACGCCATGCTGACAGTCACCTTTAAAAGTTTCTACTTATTTGCTGTTTTCAGAGGGATAACATATCAGTTTCACCATATATGTATTTTTAACTGAGTGTTTTGAAATAATTCTGTAATTATTTTGGGGCATCTATGTCTATTATAGGTAATCAAGAGAAAAATTTATTAGAGTTACTGAATTTCTTACATGCTAGTCATCTTTATGAGGCAACAAAGAAAATGAGATTTTGACACTTACTAAAAGCATTAAATTATCACCAGGAGTGAATTATGATTGAAGAATTCTGTTTCCTGACTGACGCGATACTCAATTTAGCAGTTATTGTGCAGTTTTCCCAACTTATTTTCTTTTTTAAAAAAAGTCATGAGGCCTCAAAAGGTTACGTTTATAGTTCTGTAGTGTCTTAATTTCCTTCCTGACTCCTTTAATGGAAATGTCCTCAACTTTGTCATGACTAAGAACAATTTAAAATGGTTTAGTACAACACTTAAAAAACCTAGAAGTTCCATACAAACTCACACAAGGCTGAACTTTTAGCAATTATTTACTTTATTTTTGAAAGTGCCTGTATTAATAGTAAAAGTCTTAGCTTGTTCACTTAGTTGGCAACTGCAGAAAAATACTTTTTTATTTTAGATGAAGACAGTATCTGTATCTGACAAAAATTCCTTGGAAAGAATTGAAAGCAAGTGTCACAGATCTCAGCTGAAACTTGTAACAATCTGTGGTCTGGAAAAGGGAGGGGAAAGCAGAAAGATAAGCTATTGGTATTCGTATTTTTGCTACACTTGTTTCAATATCACAGTCAGAATTTTGCTGTCCTTACAGTCAGCTTTTACAGAAATATAGAATAAGAAGATGCAGCCGAGGATGCGATGGTAAGGTCTCCAGTACAGAGAACATTAAGAAAACTAGACAAATGTAAAAAGAAGATACTGTTAAAGGAACACTGTCAAGGTTAGCAGGCACAAAATTTGATCTTCTTTCTCCTTTATATTATTTTGCAAACCCATGCCATTCATTATGTTTCTCACTCAATAAAATTAATTTATCTTTTATTAAATAAAATATTCCATCAGCCTCATGAGATGAACTTCAACAACCAATTATTTTGTGTGAACTACAACAAGAACAGTTAATCGCCACGGGGAAAGATTTTAGTTCAAGCTAGGAAGGAACAGTCATAAACAACACACAATAAAGCAGAGCTGGAAAATTACAAAGTACCTTGACAGTGTCCTTTTAAATGCATTATTTTTGTGTTCACAAACAAAGATGGGTTAGGAGACAGATGCCAGAAAGAGACATAGCCAGAAAAGAAGAAAAAATACTGAAGGAGGTAATGTTAATACATCCCTTGATCAAAAAATACAAAATTTAAAAGACTGAACTCCTAGTGCCCCACCACCACCACCACCACTTCAAAAGAGACAGAAAAGTATTTTTTACATATATATAGTAAAATCTCCCTGGAAGCAGGACTGACTACGGTTGAACTGATTACACAAATGCTGGAAGTTATTATGACATTGCCATGTAACAGTGAACTAATAAAATATTGAAATGACTTTTAAAATTCTGAATCTCTTTACAGAGAAGATACAGGTCAGAAAATACAAATCAGGGAAGGAAAGAGCGACAGGTAAAGACAAGGCCATAATCTTGCAAGTTTGGACTTTTCTATAAGCTAGAGTCCCTCCTTAATACACTTTCACTGTGCATTTTGACATAATAAATCCCCTCCCATTGCACAGACCAAGGACATGATCTTCTAAATGCTCTGAATCTCTTTCTGTAATTTAAGTGCTTTTGATTTTGGATTTTGGTTTGGGTTTTTTTCTGGTTTCTGATCCTCTGTGCTTTGGTTTGCTATAGAGTTTTGGAGAGTGTTTTATAGGTTGGTTTAGGTTAGGACACGATGTACAATAGTTATACGGTGGACACTTCAGCACGTATTTGTCTGTATATAGGGTCACCTAAAATCGCTGGGGACTGGAGTGAGTGATTCACATTATTCCACCTTTGTGACTCTGCAGAAACAATCAGTATTGTAACATTATGGAGTGTGGCATTGATAAAGAAATGATAAAATAGGACTCCAGGTAACACATCTATCACAAAGGAGAAAAGGCCTGATAACAAAAAAAAGATAATGCATATACTTTTTTAGGAAGAACAACTTCCTAGCTCCTCATATACTGGACATAATGTTCAATTTCTTTTCCTCTACCACAGTGCAAAAGAGGAATGTCTATAACCCTCAGAACATGCTTCTAGAAAGCTTGTAGGGACTTACCAAGTTCTTTAGAAATGCCAACCCCAGGTGGCTGGGAACAGTGAAAGAAGACTCAATTTCAAATTCAGATCCCTTATCTTGGCCAGGGTCTGACTGAATTACTTATGAATTCATAAAGCTAAAAATCTAAATTCTATTATTAATTAGAGCTGAACAGCACAGACATTAGAGATTCTTGGAGATAACTGAAAAAAGTTTTTAGTCTTTCAAAATGTCATGTAATAAAATAGTATTCTAGAAGTTTTGGGTTAATTATGTCAGTAGTTAGACTGAATTACTAATTAGAAATGCAGAGCAAACAGTTCATAAAACTTTGAAGTGCCTCCACGTGGATTGCTGGCTGAAACTCAAATAAGGGGCAATCTTAATTCCTTTTGGCATCTGACACTAGTGAATTCCTGCCAAATCAACAGGACTTTGTCCACATATTTCTATGAAATTTCTTCCAGATCTGAAACTCTCAATTCAGTATCTGTGGTCCAAGCTCAAATTAACTTCTTCCTAAAGAGGAAACTGGTCAGCTATACAGGTAACCGACTGAGATATTGAAATGTCATAAAGACATTTTTGCCTTTCTCAGAGCCATGGCATGAGAATATAAAGAAATGTGTCAGTATAACTCCACTGCTAGCTGTTATTTTCACCACAAATACTGTGAGTATTTTCCCTCTCTTCTGTCACTGTGCCCTATAGTGCCAAACCCGGAAAAATAATGGGTACTTTATCTCGGTAGCAGGAGAAGAGATTTGTAAAATTCCATCAATTCATACACAGAATGGATTCTGTTGATACAGATTGTGTTCTGTATTGGAGCCATCCTATCCTGAAATTAAACAGTGAACATTTTTGTCTTCAGAAAAAAGAAGAACCAAATTTTCAAGTATGAGTGAAGCACAAGGTAAGAAATGGCAACTGGTGAAAAAGGTGGATTAGATTTTACATTTGCAGAATATAATGAAACAAAAAGCATTCAACTTATAAATCACACGATGAGATGATTAATAGCGACAGAGGAAGTGAAACCTTAAAGGATGTTGTTCCTTGAACCTTGACTTTAAAAAGCTACTTTGAAATAGCTTTTCCAGAATGTACAATGGTTCAAAATCACTTTAAGATCCAATAAATCATTGAAAAAGGAAAATGACAAATAGATAAGTCACTGCTATAGTTGAAAACCAATTACTGAAGTATGTTGAATCTCAAGGCGTGTTTTAAGACAAAGTATTCATAAAAATCCTAGTCACTATACAGAAAAGCGAAAATGATATAACTGATTTTTATTGTCCAGACTGAAAGAAATGAAAAATATGGCAAAACAAAAAAGGCCCACCTTTCTCCTCCCAGAGAACAATAAAAAAACCCCACAAAGACCTCAGTCCTCTCTTTCAACCTTCCTCTTCCCCTGGAATCATTGTATGTGCACAGGATTTGACCTGCTAAAATCATAGATGTTATACCCTAGTATACTGTTGAATTAGGATCTCATTTGTTCCCTCTAACATACTCTCAAGGGAAATTTTCCATCAGTGTCCCTTTAAAATGGATAGTGACCAACTAAAACAGAGATTCAACACAAAGTTCAGAGAGGTCAGAGACTGTAACCCACCTTCAGTGGAAAGGCTTTCCATACTATATATCATCCAAAACAGATACAGTGGTAGCGTCCAAATCCAGACAGTGCATTATAAATGGATGCAGAGGAGGCTGTGCGACTGCTTTAAAAACCTCATGAAATATAATGAGTATTAGCACTGTCTTGACAAGCCAACACAGTTCACCTGACTTCTAGAAAACTGATGATGATTGTTTTAATTTCTGGCATTTTCAGTGCCAGTCATTTCAGTTTCAGTAACTGTTATCTATTAATTTTTAATCATCAAAAATAAAATTGCCTTTGAGGTAACTGGAATCAACACACAGCTTGAACTTAGTCTAGCTCTGAATCAATGGGAAATTAGGATCCTCTGCATCTGCCTACTAAGGCAACAACTAAATGAAGAATAGTTTGACTCATCGTTTCTAAAGTACAATTTCTACAAGGCAACTCTTGCTCAACCATTGTAATTTAATTTAACATACAGTGCATTTAACACAATACATTTACCTGTCTTAATTACAATTGTCAGAGCATGCAGTCTTGCAGCCATTCCATTCTAACTCAGCTTTAAAATAACACGTTTCTGAAGTATTATTTAATCATGTCAGTAATTTATACTCATGCTTCACCTTTGCCAGACAGGAATCTACATACAGATGATACAGGAGTTAATAAAAGGCCATTACAAGATTTCACAGACTGACCTTACTGCAAGGAGCAATCCAGTAAGCCATTGAAAGGAATGGCAGTCCTACTGCAACAGCAAGAACGACCAGAAACTTCACTGCCATGGTCTGCTGCCGTAAACCTGACAAATTCTCATACCAGATTGAGAGAAGTTGTTGCTGGCAGTTTGGATGTGCTACAAACTGTAACAAAGAAAAGAAGCACAACAAAACAATATTGCTATCAGAATATCTTTTATTAAAATACCAGCATATTAAGAATGTGACATCAGAATATCTTTTATTAAAATACCAGCACATTAAGAATATGGGAACAGCAACAACTCAGCTTATATTCAAAGGAGCATTAACAAGGGTATGAGACAAAGTTTTTTGATGAGCATAATCTCCCAGCATGCAGGCATGTTGCTATCAGCAACAATAAAACCTTTAATTTAAAAAACTATTATTTTATTGACATTGTGTTCCATCACAAACTATTAATTTCCATCTAAGGGTAATTAAACATAAACCTTATCTAGGCAAACTCTACTTGTTTCTGGCATTTATAAGTTTCATGTTACTACTTCAGAAGTTCCAAAACTTTAAGTGTTTCTGTTCTGCAAAGGATGCTATATAGTCTTTAGTTATGAAAGAAGGAATATGCCAAATTTTCACGTGCTAACGTGGAAAATACAATTTTTTTCAGCTGGCATAAGAAAACAGCTGTCACTTTTGCAGGAAATCAGCTAAGGACTATTTATAACTTGGTTCTGGAATCTTTTGGACAAAGTCTGCAAAACTGAGAAGTTTGGCCTATAACCCTCTTTTCTGTCAAAACCTCTGTAAAGTATAAGAAGCATCTTACAAAGGTAGATATTAACAAACAGTGGATTCTTGTGCACCGTAAATTTTTAAGTCTAGACCTGGAAATAAAATTAAAAATTTAACTGAATCTAGTATTTTTTTTCTGGAATAATTCTCTATATTTAAAGGATGATTGGCTGAAGGTGCAAGAAATGTCTTTATTCAGACAAGAGAAAGTGTTGAAAGAAAGTTCATATTCAGGGAAGGATTAAGACTCAAATACTATGAAGGACAAGGTCAATGTGATATCTTCTCTTCAAAAGTTGTTTCAGCTCTCTTTAGTGACCGTAGCTTGCCAAGTGTTTTGCAGGTTTGTGTTCATATGCTGGTAGGTGTTCTTCAGTCAAAATGGTTTTCTCCTTTTCTTCCCTTCATGAACACATAAATACTCCTCACATATAAATGTTTTAGGTGTCCCCCAGAGATGTGAACTCAGTTTTTGTAAAAAATCTGCAGCTCTTCCCTGATAAATTAGATCTGTATATTCAGTCCATACTGGATTTTTAAGAGTCCTGATTCCCTATCTGTTTTTTTTGTTAAAATAAGATATTGTTTATTTTCATCAATGATCCATTTCATTATGAAGGAAAAGTTTTATCAAAGGTCTTGCTGCTCTGTCAGGAGACAGCTCTACTTTAGGGTAACCTGCTTTCGAAGTATATTCCTGAGTTGTATCTTCTTGATCTTCGGTTGTACAAACTTCACACAAATCATTTCTCCCTGGTTCACACGCATGTCACATAGAACTTTACAACCTATACTATCCAAGAGAAGTTTTCTGGGTAATTCAAGGGTCTTGGTGCAGCTACTAACTCAGCTGGTTTCACTGAACACTTTTCAGATGCAGACCAGAGTATTAAACTGACAGTAGAAATGAAAGTAAGCCAAAGAAGGGACGATAACTCCTGTATTCGACACTGCCTGCAGCCTGCTGTTCTTCAGAAGTAAGAACCACAGTACTATTACTCCTACATTGTGTCTCTGATCCTCTCTATACAGACAAATATACATTTTCTGTGAAACACACAATTTCACTAAGTTTTCTCAACTTTCTGAGTAAGAGACAACAGGTTGACAAAAATGCGTATCAGTATTTGTTATCATTCTGTGCACAGGACTGCTGTGCTATCCTCTGGTTTTTATTAAATCTTATACTTTTCCAGGCTGCAGTAGTGCAAATTTCTTCCATCTTTTTTCAAAAATAGATTAAAACTAAAAACAAGTAAGTATCCACAAATTTTGCATATAGCTACACATTTTTTTAGAGCCATTTGCTCTCATACTCACTGTGACCAGGATCCACCCTGAATACCTACTTCTTGGTTATACTGCAAGCTCTCTGGGGCAAGGATTCTTTTGTTTGTAAAATATACTGTGCAGAAGAGTCCAAATGTTCATTTAAGTGTCAGAGGCTACCAAAACATAAACATTTAATAACAACAGAATTTAATATCACTATCATGACATGTCTGTTTGATCAACATAATTGCTTACTTTTTTAACTTCATACTTAATGGCGAGTTTTAAGCGGCTAAGGCTGGGGCGACCACGCTCTCCATTATTATGGCTCATCTCTACATCACCATTCAAAATAGCTTCCACTTCTTCTGTATTTCTGCACAAATCAAGGAGTCCAACTACAAAATCCTTGCATTGCATAGACAATTTCTTGTAATCATTCTAGAAAAGAAAAGAAGAAAGAAGATAACTTGCTGCTTAGACCTAACAAGAGAGAAATAGTTCTACATCCCAGCTACACATCTGTGAGCATCAATAGATTGTTTGCATCTTGTTATGCTTTTTTTTCTGGTAGATTAACAGCATTTTGTTATCAGGCATCTACTTCTCCTGAATGTTCAAAGAGTAGGATTCGTCTTACCTTGGTTACCTTAGACATCTACATTATCAATTTTTACACGAGTTACTTCTCTGGACTTGCTTTAGAGCCAGTTGAAAGTAAAAAACCACTTTCAGAAATATTGTATGACATATTTTAATTACTATTTCAAGTTGAGATGAATAGCACAGGGGAAATTTTTCTATTCACTGACTGTCACAGAAGTCTAGATAACTAGCTCAGACGCAGAAAGTTACACTGTAGAGATCTCAGTTGGACAAGATGAGTATCCTACAGAGAACACGTCTGAACAACTTCCCAATCTCTTGAGAATTACATAAATATATTGAATTTTCTTAGGCCTTTGGTTATTCTTGTAAATCTTATCTTTCTCATTTCCCAACATCTCTTTCAGCTTGCAAACACAACATTTGATTGCTGTTTTCCAGCAACAGTGTCAGCAGAGCTACAGATAGCATGCGATACCACGTCTCTAACTTCAACTCAAAGCTCTCTAGCTCAAATATCTCATGACAGACTTCACCGCATGAGCCAAAATCTTGCTCTACAACTGCAGGTTCAGTTGCTTACTGCTTTAACTACCAAATATTCTTCTGTTTTCCAGACGGCATAAGTCAAAACAGAAAAAGATATTCTGATCATTCAATCCACAGTTTGTTAACCACTCCTTACTTGCAGCTGTGTTTGGGTCATAAAAGATGAATAAAGCTAGACAGATAGGGAGGTAGATGGATATAGATGTATATCTAAAGCTAAAAAACATGTACAGATATATTGCCCCTGGCCTAGATCTTACAAGAGATTTACTCACACGTGTCAACAACTTCCAATATTTTCATGTTTTCTGCTAATTTTCGTCTTAAAAAGAAGAAATTACTGTAGAATTTTTCCCAAACAAAAGAATGAAAAAAGCCCCAACCACCCCACACCACACAGGACTGCTCATGTAGTCTCTATTTCATGTTCAAAGTAACTTTCTATGAATGCTTTTATTACAGTGACACATTTACCCCTCCTCTGGTCTGTTCTTCATAGCATTCCCCCTTTTCCCACTCAGTCTCTGTTTAGTCCCTTTTTTTTAATTACTTCCTTCATGCTAACTGCCATCTAATACACACCCTGGAAGAGAAACCATTATTTTGAGCATACAAAATAAACTAATTTATTTGCCGAGGGTGTACTTCATGCGTATTTGTGCTTTATTACCCACACCACCACAATACCAGTTTATTACTTGGATATATTAAAGGATCGCATCCAAGTTTTACATTTCACTTTACTTCGATGGATGCAAACATTCATAGACAAATAGTTATAGACACTATTGTATGTCTACATAAAACTGCTAGTGATTTATTTTTTTAATAATGTAATGTAAGCAAGATAGCTCAGATGTGTCATAAAAGAGAAAGGAACTTTAATGTAATTTCTCTACAAAGACAACAGAAGCTAAATACTAAAACTAACCATTTCATGACATGCTGTATATTTTATTATTGTATTATTTATTTTCCCTCTCTTCAGAAGAATAACAATAGAGATTAACCAAAATCCTGACTTCTTGGCACTACAGAAAGACATTTTTTGAGAGTAATCTATTACCTCCTGTTTGGCTTCCATTTTTGTAGCAGCAACAGCTAAGACAAGATTCAGTATTCAATCATTTTAATACATAAAATGTCCTCTTCAAAATTAAAGGAAAAGTAGCCATTTGAGATTCACAGACGAAGGAAAAACATAGAGTCAACCAATGCACCCTTGTACGATTAGGTACCATGAACTGTTCCAAACTGATATCTGACCCTTGAACATCAAATGAAAAAAGGAATATTTTTCAACAAATTTAGGAACAAAATAATTTGGCCTTCATAAATAACTATTACAAAATATTGTAATACATTTGTTATGTATTGGTATGTGTATATTTTCTGGTAGGAGATACATACATACATGTGCACACACACACATACTCTTCATCAGTATTTTCCAGCTCTGGTGACTGAGACATGACACGGATTTTCAAAACAGTATGTGAGGAGACCATTACTCCACCGTGGAGTCCAATGCTTTTGGGTAGTCTCAAAACAAAAATCATAGATGATAATTTATTCTAATGAAGAATATGATTTTTTCTGAGTGTAGTCCTATTTACCAAAATGAATACTGAATGCGCACTTTTAAACATAGCCAGATACCCCCATTCACACTTTGCAGAATTATCCCTTCTGAATTTAGGTTCTGTACACAGTATCACAGTATATTTAGCACCCAGTAAATTCATCCCTAAACTCCATCGGTTTATCTTCTCATTTGCAAATGCAGTAAAACACCTTCCCCTCCTGTGAAATATTGCCGTAGCTGCGATCAGTGGTGGTAGCGATAATTTATTCTAATGAAGAATATGATTTTTTCTGAGTGTAGTCCTATTTACCAAAATGAATACTGAATGCGCACTTTTAAACATAGCCAGATACCCCCATTCACACTTTGCAGAATTATCCCTTCTGAATTTATACACAGTACACAGTATCACAGTATATTTAGCACCCAGTAAATTCATCTCCATCGGTTCATTTGCAAATGCAGTAAAACACCTTCCCCTCCTGTGAAATATTGCCGTAGCTGCGATCAGTGGTGGTAGCTGAGCTGAAATCTCCTCGGCGGTCAGGTTACAGCAAACGAGCTTTGGGGAAATCAAGCAGAGCCCAGCATCACCGCCTCCGCCCCAGCCGCGGCACAGGGCGGTTGTAACACAGCAGAGTCAGCTGAAGGCGACACGCTTCCCTGCTCCACTTCACAGTTTGCTGTCTTGAGACATATTCCCTTATGAAGAATTTATCCTCTTAGGGAAGGTTATGGAGGACAGAAGGGATGATAATGTCTTAAACTGCTATGGGAAGATTTGTCACGGTCTGAACACAGGGAAGGTAGCTCTAGCCAGGGAACTTGGTTCCTAAGAAATCAAGTGTGTTAACTTGCAGAGACTACTGCATGGGCCGCCTTTTGCCCCTTGTCTCCTTGGTCCGCTTAAACATATAGTGACAGCAAAAATAATTAATACGCTCTTCTTGTCATCTCAGTGTCTCTCTGTCACACATGCACAGAAACTTCCCCCCTCCCCCACAGTCTCACGTGTCTCTTACCATGAATGTGAGCCAAGGGAATGTGGTAATTTGTTTGGCTTAACTTATTTTTGAAAATGGCCAAAGGCACAGGGGTAATTCCACGAGTTCTCCTTTACTGCAAATTGTAAACTTAATGAATTAAAAAAGCAGTCCTGGGAGACTTGAGAAGGTACTTAGCAATTAAATTACAGTTGGAGGCTCTAAAAGAATCAGCCCTTAATTCTCCAATAAAGCATGTGTGTGTTTTGTTTTACACATGTGACAAGGTTGGTTCAGGGCTCCTCAGCAGTTTAGGAAAAACCCAATTTTGCCAAGTTTTGCCACACCAAGGATGAGGGGGCAGCACTGGCTGCTCCCACCCTGCAAAAGGAAGGTGATGATTTGCGGCGAGTGCCATGGGGGATGAGGATCCAGGGGAACAAGATGCTGGTGGCAGAGGAATGACAGGAGGGGTGGGGGTGACAGCAGCTGCTGCCGAGAGGAGTCATCTGCCCTTCGTGGTAGGAGCAGCCACAGACTGTCTTGGCGTCCCATGTAAGGGAGCAAGCAGGCCACGGTCACTCTGAAAACCTCAGCTGACCATGATTTGCCTTACCTCTGACCACGTAAGCAGGAGAGCGGGAGAGCATCACCATAGCCGTTTCTCCCAGAAGAAAGGGGCCTTCTCCACGCAGCCTCCTGTGACCAAGTCATAGGCTCCTGCTGTCTCCCCGACCGTGCCCAGGATGAAAATGCTCTCAGGACGCAGATTAGATGAACCCCACAGATTAGATGGAGCAGTCCTGGCCCTGCTTAGTGAACTGTAGAGGCCAAGACCAGAAACACGGGTACTGCGAGACAAGGATTTAGGATTTCACAGTGCCTTGTGAATGTAAGAACTAAATGTTGGATTTAGGCATCTTAGTAGGGTAGATAAACACATTATTCCCCTTACAAAGGTGGCCCTTACTCCTTCGGTGCCTCAATTCTTCTTCTCTAAAAGGTGATGTTAACTTTTCTCTAAGAGAGCTGACAATACCTGTAATGAAGACTGGGACCTAATTTCTGTAATGGGGGTTGTATAAATGAAAACAAACAGAAAATCGGACTTTGAGATGATAAATTGAATTTTGCTTCTCATCAGAAAAGCAAACTCAGATGACCTTATTAGGGGTATTAATTTACAGCAAACAGTAACATAGCTACATTTATTTTAAAAATACATTTTTCCACTCCATCCCATTAAACAATAAAACAGTCTGTTGCTATTATAGCTGCAGCGGACTTTGTACTACATGCAAATCTTATCCATTTTGAATAGCACTGGGCCACAGCTGTCCTTCTCAAAACTCTAGGCCACATCTCTGCAGGACAACATTTGTCAGATATCATCTACATCCTTACGGACATATTAGCTCTAGGGTGGGCAAACAATTTTGATGACAGAAAATACAAGCACAATCCCCCAAAATAAAAATATTCTATATAGTATCAAACATTGTAAAGCTGCACACTTAGCCATGTCATAAAAAGCTAAATTAAATGTCGTTCAGAAAATCCTGAAGATCTCAGAATTACTCAGGAAGCCTGAATTAGCTGTTTGCTTGGTACAGAAATATTCCTACACTATGCTTGACATATCTGTCCAGTTAGTCTTCCTTCGGAAGTCATCTTCTACTTTTTTCTGGTTTTAGAATCATAGTTTGGGTTGGAAGGGACCTCTAAAGGTCACCTAGTCCAACCCCCCTGCCGTGGGCAGGGACATCTTCCACTAGATCAGATTGCTTAGAGCCCCGTCCAACCTGACCTGGAATGTTTCCAGGGATGGGGCATCCACCACCTCTCTGGGCAACCTGTGCCAGTGTTTCACCACCCTCAGCGTAAAAATATTTCTTCCTCATACCTAGTCTGAATCTACCCTTTTTTAGTTTAAAACCATTACCCTTTGTCCTATCATTACATGCCCTTGTAAAAAGTCCCTCTCCAGCTTTCTTGTAGGCCCCCTTCAAGTACTGGAAGGCTGCTATAAGGTCTCCCCGGAGCCCTCTCTTCTCTCTGCTGAACAACCCCAACTCTCTCAGCCTTTCTTCACAGCAGAGGTGTCCCATCCCCCTGATCATTTTTGTGGCCCTCCTCTGGACCCACTCCAACAGGTCTATGTCTTTCCTTTGCTGAGGGCTCCAGAGCTGGATGCAGTACTCCAGGTGGGGTCTCACCAGAGACTCCTAATAAAGAACAATCCTCCAAAACACTTGTAAAAACAGTATCTGCAACCAAATTTAACAGGCATGTAATGCTAGATACCACCACTACAGAGGTTTGAAGAAAAGAAAGAAGTTTATTCCAGAGAACAGTGGTTTCCACTGATTACGGCATTTCCTATTTTGCGTGAATCACAGTTTCGTGGTCAGTGTTATCTCTAACCTTAACTGATGGTGTAAGACAGGAGAGAGAAGTCATTCATAAGATAGTCACGAAGCAACCAGCATCACAGTTCAGCATCAACCCTTTCTATTGCCTTTGAGGAAGACCTGGGAATCATCTGTGCCACTGGTTGCTGTAGGCACCCACTAGGAAGCTCCCTTGAAACAATACCTCATCAGCACTATAAAATAGGTGACTTTTAAAACAGTGTATTACCAGAAAATTCAATTTTCATTTAGGCAAGGTTTTAAATACTTTAAATGGCTCAGGCAAACCCTAGGTGGAGCTAAAGATTTGCCATGTCCAGCTAATGTATGTACTAAAAATATACTTGTTTTGATTACACCAACACGTGTAACACATTTTTATGAAAACCACATTTTTACACAGGGACTACGCTAACTGGATAATTGTAGCAAACTCCTGAAATAAAGTAAGGGTAACAATTTTTAGATAAATTGCTGCAAGCAGGGATATGAGCTTACAGGAGCACAACAAGCCCAGTAAACAACAGCGTCCATTTCCTCCAGCTTGTATACACAACCTTTGTACTGCCTGCACCGAACCCAAGCCAGGTATTTCTCAGTCCAGCCCCCAGCCTGTCTAGATATTGTAAATGTTACCACTTACCAATAGTGTAAACGTTAACTCTCATCAATGCATGTATAAATGTACTCCCTTGTCTTTAATATTCATCCAGAACGACCACATGATTTTAATACCTACAAAAATGTTCCCAAAAGACCTTACGTTGCCAGCCACCCGCTTCTGGTGAAACCTTAAATTAAGGGAGAGTTAAATTTCCGTGTTGCCTTGTGCTCCTGCTTCTCAATGTTCCTATTCACCTTCACTCTGCTCTAGAGAGTATGTACATCCCCAGCAGAGCTTGGCTTATTAACGCTTGGCAATATGGAGCTGCTCTGTCTCTTGTCTAGCCTCCTGTTTCTGCTGAGGGACAGTACCTCAAAATCTCTGTTGCAATTCTTTATACAACTCTACCCTAGAAGTAGAGCTCTAATTTTAGAGAAGGCAATTGAGACAAAAGAGGAAATAAAAAACCAAAAGTCACTCAGGGATGAGCCAGGTCACACCGAGGAAGGACCTCCTCACAGCACTTCAGGGCAGGCTGCAGAAGCATGCTTTCTGAACCAGCCCACCTTTTCTCACCTGTGGGCTCCATTCCCTGCCCTGGTGGCACCAGAGACAAATACTGCGCTCCCAGTTCATCTCGCCAGTTGTGTACTGCAGCATACATTTGAAGGACACTTCTTGCTGACAGTTCCAGATGATGATTTTATTTATCTTTATAATAATCTTAGCTTGTGTCGCTCCAACTGTGGTAAATGGAGCTATACAGTCCCTACAAATCAGACATGCTATTTATCTCAACATAGCCATGAACTTAACAGGCTGCATTTATAATGTATGAAAAATGTTTTTCTGTTCTGTTCTAAATTTACTCCCCTTTAAGTTAATCAAGTCCTTTTGTTCATATCTTCAGCAGCTGCTAAAGAGAAAGAAACAAGAGTATATTTAAATACTCTTCTCTGAACTGTACGTGAAAACACTGGACGAAATCTCAGTCCACTGAGGTCCTAAGGATTTCTGCCAGGGACTTCATGGGGCAGACTTTCATCCTCTGCTTTAAGCTGAAATGCTCTTCCCAGAATTTGGTCTTATTGAAATAAAATAAAAATTCTCCTCTGCTCCTATTTCAGCTGTTTAGCTGCTGTTTTTAAGAACCCCTCCAAGACATATTTCAGCTTCTTACAACAGATTGGTGCCACAAAGGTACACCTACGAGAACGAGTTAGGAGTAATTAATTGAGAATTGCAGCATTTCAGCTCAAGTTGGCTGAGCAGAGATGGGTTCACGGCCTTGAGAACTGTGCCACTGCTAAGATTAACATTAAGTATTGATCATGGCAACTTCAAACTCTTCCTAACACAATGTTGGAAATGATTCTCTTACTGCTTTGGAGGAGGTTTGATCTGCTAGTGAAGTCTAGATATCTTGCTCTGTCACAGCAGTATCATATACTAGCATCTGCTTTCAACAGGGTCCCATAAGGTAAACCCAGTCCAAGTGATTTTAGCTAACCTAAGTCATAATTAACACTGCCTATGTTAGCACAAGGCCTGATTTGCATTTACTGAGAGCAAAAAGCTTACATTCTTACTGTCTTAACACAAATAAACTGTGGTAAATGTTTTTGTAGGTTGTGCACCATTGTATCTACATAATTAAAAAAAAAACAAAACAAAGAACATTCATGCTTCAAGGATCCAAGGGGCCTTGAATCCCTGGGTCTCAACTGTTTGTTTTGGTTTTTTTTTTTTCAAAATCATGCATTTTTGTAACATTAAAAATTCTATATAACACTGAAGAAGTCTTTAACTTCACAGAGTTCACATATAACTAGGCACAAATAAGTAAAAAAGAGGAAGAGATTAGTAGAAATACCAGAGAAAAGCAACACATTAAAAAAGGACAAGAATTACATTAGAGTCCTTTTAGTAAGTAACTGTAAAACATTGTGAGAAGTGAGAAAGCTTTCAGTCCAACTACAAGAAAATAATGAGAATGTATGAGGGTTTAGTAGAACCATGCAATTTGGCTTGCATAAGCAACCAAACTGTCCCACTTCAGTCTCCTCTTTCACCTGTCCTAATCCAGTTTCACCCACAGGTTTGAAGGGACTCCCTCACTATCCTCCCCGATAGGAAGTGGAAACTGAGTTCACTGGCACCTTCTACATAAGCAGCAAGAATTACAATCCGCACAGAGCAGTAAGACATTCCCAAAGACTTAAATCTCCCATTCATTAAACAATTATACATTTCCCCACATCATCCTGCTGATTTGTGAAGATGATGCTGATCTCTTATTGTTCAAGGAATGGGAGAAAGACCTTTGATTGAACTTTGCAATTCTGTGTCTGTCAGAATCGGTATCCCTCTACTCACCTTAAACTCTTTTTCAATGTTGGCAAGCACGGCCAACTCATTGCTGAGCTCTAAGGCAGTCATTACAGGGTCTTCACTGGACAAAGACAGATAAGCAGGGCTGGCCAGACCTTTGTAGGCATTGATTCTGGACCTAGAATGGCTGAAAGAGTCATGCTTTTGTTTCTGATTGCATTCACTGCACTTGCAAAAATAGTCATGTGGCCTATCGATCCGAGCTCCTTTTCTCAGCAGAGTGTGGACAATCTCATACTCATGGCAGTGAGCAGCTAGAATGATTGGTGTAACATCATGGGAAAACCGTGTGCCATCTTCATCATATGCATAGAAGTCATCGTGCTGGAGCTCCGACTGGCTAGGACTCAATGCAAGCCTCTTGCCTTCGGCAAATGCGGGATGGTTTAGGATGGCTTCCACTATCCGAACATAACCTTTGCTAATAGCCAAAAGCAAGGCATCCCCAACCCGAGACAGGTTCTCCTTCTTCAGCAGAAGTTCTGTGATCTCCAGGTGCTCGTTGGCAACTGCCAGCTGCAAAGCGTTCTGCCCCATATAGTCCACACAGTTCACATTGAGTGAGGGACATTCTTCCAGCATTTTGCGAATCACTGGAATATTTCCATATTCTGCTGCATCCAAAAAGCGCTCCTCCTCAAGAGAAAGACTTGTTGAGTGGTCATTAAACATATACGCTGGCCCTCGACTGGCCTGCCTCCTCCCCTTCTCCCGGAGAATGGTCTGCCGTCGTAGCGCTAGTCTATTCTCGTTGCCTCGGCTGTGTGGAAATAGAGAAATTATTAGTTCTGTTATATGCAAGGGTATATCCATTTTAAACATTAATAAAAATATTTTAATCATTTATCTGCTGCATATTTTTAATGCAGCAGGGAGACCAGAAACCCTGACTTTGATGCACTTTGTAACCACTGTCACTACACAGTCCTGGAATCAGTAGCCAGCTACATTTTATTTCAACAAGAAGAAAAAGCCCTAGTCAATCATCATTTAAGACTACACTTTTTTCCCTATTTCATCCTCCATAGCTTTTGCGTAATTTTTAGTGAAGCTGGATTGTGCTTCATGTTACATAAGTAGAATAACAGTTTTAAAGGTAAGGTTCTTTCTCAGGTTTACACAGAAATCCCTCTCTGCTTTTCCAGCACTCTTCTATCCAAACTTCTCATCGTCATTCGGTATCCCACACATCCCCCTGATATGTACGGTCACTTCATGAAAAAAGTGCTTCCTGTTTTAATCTAGAAAAGAAGAAAGCATTATAACATTTTTACAAGATTTCACTTTCTGATTACAAAAATATTTTCAACAGAAAACATTCAGCTAGGTTTGAGAATTGCTTCAAGAGCAAAACTACGTTTTCTCTGGATGAACGTACTACTTTCTGACACCTTTGCTAGATCTAGCAGATATTTTGAACGACTTCACTGGAACAACTGGGTATCAAGAAAAAGAACACCAGATCTCAAGTTCGTTGTTTAAATATATATTTTAAATACAAAGATGACCTGGAGAATAGCGATGACATGCAATGACTGCCTCAGTCCAGAGACAGCTGGTATCAACAGCACAATGCAGTGAGAATAGCCCACATCTGCTCAGCTGGTAGGAGGAGTCCCAGTGACACCACATGACCCTAGGTGCCCTCAGGTGGCCCTTCTGAAAGCCACCATCCCCTCAGGATGCCATTCACCCAAAGTTCTTTACTTGGTCTACTTTGGTGCTAAGTCACAGCTCAGAGTGAAGACAAGTCACAGTATGAAAGGAGTCAGCAGTCGCAGGATGAGGAACGAGGGATTGCAGAGCACAGCAGGGCACACAAACATGGACACTCTCTGAATTTCCTTCTGCCTCAGAAAAGCAAGCAGGCTGACTTCAGTTGCTCTTATTCTTCTTATTGCCATCACTACTTTGGCAACTATCTAAGTTACATTTTGGATCTGGTTTCTCCTCTTCACCCTGATGATGTTTTTGTGAAAACCGTAATTGAATGCTCAGTTATAAATTGAATCTGTGCAAGATAAAAGCATATTGACTACATTGTATGACGTGTTACTCCCCATCTCCACCATCCTTTTCATTATTACATTCATTATAACCTTGATATCCTATTTATTCCTCCACTCTGTGGCTTGTCACCAAACCCTGCCAATTCTTGCTTCATGATAGCTCTGAAATGTTGTCTGTTCTTCTATTTCTACTACTGAAACCCTCAGCCATTCCTCACCTCTTATATTAATTATTAGTTACTTAATTAATAATTAATTTATTATCAAAACATAAAGTGAACCATATAGCTGAGTTTCAAAATATGCTACATTCTCTTTAACAAGAAGAAAATCTAATTCATTACTCTCTTATTTCAGTCAACTAGGATTCCAATCCTCAATAAATACTCAATTGCAAATCATTTTCTCTCCTAGAATTACTCTGCTAAACTACATAATACTCACTACAACTTCATCATTTTTCTTTTTGAATGGTAGCTTAATGATTCTTTACATCCATATGCTCAAATACACTTCAGTATTTTCAGTATTTCCCATAAAATAATAAGCACAAGCAATATTTTATTCAATATTTATTAATGAATATGAATTTAAATATTTAAATGACAGTAAACAAATCAGTCCTTTGTGACTCAACATGTCTTCACAAAAAGTAACATTACAAGATATTATTTCTTCTAGATTGTTTATATTTAACTTTAGTATAAATTTCCTTTTTGCCTCTTGCCTTCTCAGTTCCAGAGATAGAGTCCTCTGCAGCACTGGAAATGCTTCAAATTGCCAAAGTCTCAGATCCAAAAGGACATTTTTTTTTGCAAGATAATCACAGGTATGGAATGTGGAATATATAAAAAGTGACAACTATAACATTGTTCAATATGCAGACAGTATTAATACCGTGCTACAATGGCAAGTTTACAGTCTTAGTTTGCACTATGTCTATCATTTCATGACATGGAATAAAGTTAGATCCCGTCCTCCTCTACTCCTCAAGATCTCTACGAAGGCTATCTCAGTTACTGTGGGTTCAAAGCATATGAGAGAGCATGGATATACGCTAATGTCTTATAGGTGAATATGCTATATGGCTGATTGAAATTTTTCCATGCATATTTCCAGGTATTTTAAAAGAAAAAAAAATTTATATTTGTTGAAAAGACAGCCTTTGGAGAAGAAAGGCTTTTCACAGAAAACATGAAAACTGAAAGAATGAAAATGTTACTGGCATTGGCGACAATATTGGTGCCAAAATCTGAAATTCACTAAATAGAAGCCAGTCTTTTGATATACCTACAAGTGTTTAACTGGAAATGCATGTCCTAAATTGGAACAGGGATGAAATGGTAGAAAGGAGAGATCACAGCTGAGAAAGCAGATGACAGACTCCCCAGTTTTGAAAGTTATACCTTAAAGGACTGTAACGTGGTTCTGAAAAGTTTCTTCAAAGGTGGAATATGAGAGTGTATTGGTAGGCTGAAAATCAGCTGGGAGACAGGAAAGAGAAGGAAGTTCAAGATGAGGGGGAAAAAATGAGAAAGAAAAGAATGTAAGTGGAAATTTTAAAACCTGCTGGGTTTTAAGATTTATGCACTGAATAACTTTTAAGAGATGACCATAGCAGGACCATAGGGAGAGAAGTTCCCTAATTTCCGTAACAGAGTTAGTTGTCAAAAAATGAAGGACTTAAATACCCCAATGAAGTTAAATCCTACAGTCAAGGGTTTTAAATCAGGCTATATCTTTCTTGAGTTTTATAGCTTCCAAACCTGCTGGGTTTTAAGATTTATGCACTGAATAACTTTTAAGAGATGACCATAGCAGGACCATAGGGAGAGAAGTTCCCTAATTTCCGTAACAGAGTTAGTTGTCAAAAAATGAAGGACTTAAATACCCCAATGAAGTTAAATCCTACAGTCAAGGGTTTTAAATCAGGCTATATCTTTCTTGAGTTTTATAGCTTCCTGGAAAAGAGAGGCTCAGTGTAATAATAATAAAATTTTGAGAAAAAATGTTTAGTTGATTCTGATCAACTGATCAGAATTGATTTTCATTCACCATTGTCCTTGCATATCCAGATTGTGCAATGCTTGGAAAAAAATACATTTTTATAGTGAAATGAACTAGAGCTGAAGTAAAAACAAACAATACATACTGTAATTACGCATCTTGTACATGCAAATTTAATTAAACATGGTTTGATTTTAGAGCTTAAGTGATAAAAACTAAAGTTTCTCTAGTGTAACATTAAAAATTTATAAGAAAATGGATACAAAAACTTCGACTGTACTGTTTTTTTGACTTTTTACAAATGTGATGTCATGGCAGTTCACTGAATTGTGAATTGCCACTCCTTCTTAGGAGATATTTGGAAAAGCAAGTATACCTGGGCTGGACAGTTGTCAGTAAGATATATAAATGTTTTTTAATTATTCTTTTCTTCTACTGCACTTTTAATGAACAATCATATTGTTCCTTTGATGCATACTGCTCTGCCCTTTTGGCATTCTATAGTTGAGTGTATAAATGCAAGTTAGTAAAATCTTCATAGGAGGCAGGCCTAAACAAACAGGAAGAATAAAGCATGGTTTGGTCAAAAACAGCATTTCTAGACGAAATATAGATAAGAACGGTGACATTTAAAGTGATTACTTTAAAAAGGAATACCTTTGGTATCAGTTTAGAAAAATATATCAAGCTTACAAGATTCAACACATATATACAGGAAAACTAGGATAAATATAAGAGCATATAGCTTTTTTCTGAGCTGCAGTTCCACAGTTCATAAGATTTGTATTTATTACTAATAAAAAAGTTTGCTTTCAAAATTAATTTACACATAGAACTAAACATTGCCCTGCTGTGCTGTTTGAAAAAAGAGTAAATGTTTCTCTACTAACAATTTGGAAAAACTATTTATTACAAAATATCAAATAATAAACTTACTGTGATATGTAATAGTTACACGTAGCTGTAACTGTGCTTGCCATCATTTAGATTGCTTTGATATTATATAGTCAACTGTTTATTTGACTTATATTTGACTTGTGCCTCCTGTTCCTACTTCTTTTACAGTAGAAGCTATAATGCTGTTTGGATTCCACAGAGCTAAACAAGTTAGGATAGCAAAAGGTGAAAATATCCACCTCTATCTGAGAAGTTACTGTGCGATTTAGCTCTTGACTTGAATAAACTGTTACACTTGGATTTTTTTGGAGTACCAGTTGCTCAGTTTCTCTTTAAGTTGTTTTATGTCAAATGTGTATATTATCACAATAACAAAATGCAAGTTTTATTATTCAAATGAATGGCACGTCTTTTCAGTGTTTGCGATGGAGTCAGAGAACTCCAACTGCAATGGAATAGCAGGACATATTCTACAGCAGTTAATCACACCTCATGTAGGTTCAAGTTTCCTGTCCAATTAATGAAATGAAAGTAAAAAATTCTATTATATGCTGATCAGTTCTGAAGCTATTAATCCCCTTCCATAGTTCTTTACTCTGTTCAATAAAAGGACAGGGAGCAGAACATACAGAGAGAAAAAGACGACAGGGAATGTTGTGGTTTAACCTCAGCCGGCAACTAAGCACCACACAGCTCCCCCCCCCCCCCCCCCCGGCAGGATGGGGGAGAGAATTGGAAGAGTAAACAAAAGTAGACAAAAGCCATTATAGGTGT